ATGGAGAGCAGATCAGAGGAGTTTCCCAGCTGCCGGGAGTTCTGATCTGAACTCTCCCCCCGCTGACCGGGGCCTTGGGGAAGACACCAGCCCCTCTGATCTAATTCCCTCCTAAAAAACGGGGACAGTGAGTGGGCACCCACACTTCATGAAGACAGTGGAAGGCATGTGCTCAGAGTTACCACTGGCTAAAATGGAAGTATGTGGCTTTTTTTTTTTTTTTAAATATATTGATTTCAGAGAGGAAGGGAGAGAGAAAGAGAGACAGAAACATCAATGATGAGAGAGCATCATTGATCGGCTGCCTCCTGCACGCCCTGTACTGGGGATCAAGCCCACACCCCAGGCATGTGCCCTGAACAGGAATTGAACCATGACCTCCTGGTTCATAGGTTGATGCTCAACCACTGAGCCACGCCAGCCAGGGTATGTGGCTTCTTGTCTCTCTACCACCCCCAGCAGCTACTTACCCAGCGCCTGTGTGGTCACAGTCATGTGTGTATGGGGATGTGGCACAGGCAGAAGGGAGTAGGGACGCCATCTCTTCTTCACTGTCCAAATTCCTCAGGACCCTTCCTCCCAACCTTCCTACACCCTCCTCCTCTCAATCCTTTTCCCTCACAGTGGTCATACCTGCCCTTTGCCAGGCCTGGTGGCCACTGAGAAGGCAGATGTGAGTAAGATAAGACCATGATGTGGAGGCATCTAGAAGGAGACAGGCAGCTACAACAGGGGAGATCGGGGAGGGACCCCTGAGCCAGGTCTAGGGGATGACCAGGTCTGGGGAAGGCTGTCCCTGGCCCCGTCCTGGGGCCTCAGGGGCCCAGCAACACTGTGCCTGTCACTCTTTCTGGTGCCTTGGGGCCTCTCATTGGGGGGGGGGGGGAGCGAGAAAGAGAGAGAGAGAGAGAGAGAGAGAGAGAGAGAGAGAGAGAGAACACAGGTGATTTCTCAGCCAAAATCTGTTTCCTGCCCATTTCTTTCCTTTTCTTTTTTACTTTTTATACTATTTTATTTGTATGCTGCTGCCAGTGTATCTATATTAATAAAAGGGTAATATGCTAATTAGACCAGACATATTCTGGACATCCTTCCAGACAAAGCCACGGTGGCAGGGGCCAAGGCAGAGGCAGTAAGGGGTGATCAGGCCAGCAGGGGAGAGCAGTTAGGGGGCGATCAGGCTGGCAGGCAGAGGCTGTTAGGGGTGATCAGGCAGGCAGGCAGGTGAGCAGTTAGGAGCCAGTGGTCCCGGATTGGAGAGGGTGCAGGCCAGGCTAAGGGACCCTCTCCCCCATGCACAAATTTCATTCACCAGGCCTCTAGTATAAAATAATCATTGTTGTGAAATAGAAATTCATGAAAATTCAGAGAGGTAGATGTTAAGGACTGACAAAAGCAGAAGTTTGTATAGTACGGCACATGTTATAGGATAAGCTTTTTGTACAGGCTTCAGCTCTCTTTGAATATTCACTGATTCAAGAAAAGTGGTTTAGCCCTAACCGGTTTGGCTCAGCGGATGGAGCATCTGCCTGCAGACCGAAGGGTCCCGGGTTTGATTCCGGTCAAGGGCACATGCCGGTTGTGGGCTCGATCCCCCGTAGGGGATGTGCAGGAGGCAGCCGATCCATGATTCTCTCTCATCATGGATGTTCCTATCTCTCTCTCCCTCTCCCTTCCTGCCTGAAATCAATAAACATATATTATAAAAAATAATAAATAAATAAATAAATAAATAAATAAAAGAGGGGGAAAAAGAAAAGAAACGTGGTTTAGACACCTTCACAGTTCATTTCACTACAGAAAGGAACAAGCTTTCTGGGTCTGAAGGGATTGGTACTTGAAGATACTCCCATCAGCAGGGGGTCACGTTGAGCATTCTGCAGACAGAATTGTTTCAAATCGGCAGCTGCCTGGGAAACCTCATGGTTGAGCCCAGCCTCCAGCCGGAGCCGTTGAACCACTTTCTTCATAGCGGTGACGGTGACGCTGGAGGAACCAGACATGGTGCACACGAGTGCCGGGCAGATTGGTCAGTAGCAGGTCGCCAGTGGTGAGTCCGCGGGGCCAGACAGCGGGGCAGCGACGCGAGGCCGAAAGCCCCTTCCTAGGCATTCTCCCTCCCCCCGGTGCAGTGTTAAGAGAATCTTTTGGGGGAACACTTGGCAGCTCTCTCCCATCTTGTATCGAGCCAACCTAAGGGCTTCCCGAGACCCACATCTGTACATTCACTGTGAGGGTGGGTGTGAAGGTGTACACACAGCAAAGAGGAGCTCGGGCTTCCCATCCAGCTGGCGACGAGCATTTGGTCTGGTCCTGCCACCCTTCTCCCGAGGCAGCCTGGTGGGCGAGCCACCACTTGCTAGCTGTGTGGCCCTGGGAAGTCGCTAACCATATCTGTGCAGTGGGGTCAACGACTCCTGCCTTGCAATCTGATTGCAAAGATTCATTTAGGAAACCTGAAGCCAGCAGCACAGGCCCTGCACCCAGTAGACAGGTGTCTGCTAATGAGAGCCCCCCGACACCTGCATGACTCCAGGGCCGCTGAGAGCCTTCTCCTGCCCACCCGTCTGCTGACCAAACCCCTCCTCACAGGCAGGCCCTGATGTGCCTTATTGTGAACACAGCCAACCCTTAGGTCAGGAGGCTGAGCAGAGGTTAGACTTGGAGCCATGCAAATCTTGGTTTTTAAATCCCAATTCTGGTACCTGTACTCACTCACAGACCTGGGCCTTGTGTTTTTGTGTTTTGTTTTGTTTTTACAAATATGTTTTTATTGATTTCAGAGAGGGAGAGGGAGAGAGATAGAAACATCACTGATGAGAGAGAATCATTGATCGGTTGCCTCCTGCATGCCCCCTGCTGGGGATCAAGCCTGAAACACGGGCATGTGCCCTGAGCGGGAATCGAACTGTGACCTCCCGGTTCATAGGTAGACACTAAACCACAAGCCACACTGGCTGGGCAAGGGCTTTGTTTTTTTAATGGGTAAATTGGAGATAAGATCTAAGACAACAGGGAACTTGCCTGCCTGTCTTATTCGCTATATCCTTAACCCCAAGAACAGTGCCTGGCATACAGCTGGGCCCTCCGTGTCTGCTTGTTTAACAATGAATGGATGAATGAATGAACAAATACTTATCTTGCAGAATGAGTATGAGGTTACAACGTGTAAAATGTCTGCTATAGTACGTGACTCAAGGCTAATACTCTTCAAAGTATTTCCTTCTTTCTCCCCCTTCCTTTTCTTCTTTTCCCTTCTATTGCCTTCCCTGGGCCTATGGACATGTAGGACAGTCCTTTGACCCCCACTTCACCTACCAACCACCCTGAACCACCTCACCATTTTCCCAGACAGCTGACGGCTCTCCTGTGGCCACGTGGAGAGCTGTCTGGCCCAGTGCTTCTCCCCCCGACCTCCCTTATCCCGCACTCCCTCGATCATTCCTGCACTTCAGGTTATTCCCGGTCACTGTTCTCCTCACACTTACAGGTCAAAATGGATCTTCCTCATGCCCCTCCATCTGCAGAGTGGGAAGGGAACTTGGGAGCTGAGCAGGGGGCTGGGCCTCAGAGCTGTGTCCTGCCGGCTCCAGCAGGCAAGACTGGGTTGTCTGTATCTGTCCGTCCGTTCCTGCCTCAGCTTGTTTTTGTCTCTCCCACTTTCTGGAAGGCAGGGCAGGGACAGCAACAGGGACAAGCCTTGGTGTTGACATCTGGCCACAGCTTCCTGGTCCAGGCTGACACTCAGACTGGGAGGGGCCGGAGGGACCTGGTCTCCGGGGACCTGGGAGGAGCTCCAGTCCCCTCAGCCCCTCTTCTGTGGCTGAAAACTCAGGCAACCAACCCCTCTATGTTCCTGGGGTCCAGGGCTTGGGAGGCGGCGGGTCTGCAGGCAGCACAGACCGAAATACCACCCAAGTAGCCCTACCCCCATCCAGGGGGTATAATGGGGGTGACTCTAGGGAGGTGATTCGAGGCCATGGACAGGGAGACTGTTGGTATAAGGGCACTATTCCCTCAACATGTCTGAGGTGAATCGCTAAAAACGCTTGTTAAAAACCCGGATTCCCCAGGAGCCATGGATT